TTGATAATGATGAAATCCCCACCTATCATGAAAGAGATCCGGGTCCATTTAATGACTTCTCAGGTTTGCGTGTTTTTTTTTTTGTAAATTCGAACTGATAAGATTCTTCAGATATTTTCTCTGATATTCGAGTGCATGTTGTTCACAGCTTTGCCTGAGTTGTGGTGCCCGGCTTTTGGAGGTCGTGTTTTAGGGCCTTGGGGTACAGTGTTCGGATTCAGTGGACTGGCTGCTTTTGTAAGACGTAGTCGTTTTGCTATGAGATTAATTTCAAGACAACCAACGGTTTCCTCACCGTTCTTACTATGGCCGCCATCGTCCAGACTTTGTTTTTTAAACACCAGAAGATGTTGCCCCCGGGTAGCAGATGGAGGTCATTATCATTTGAAGCTTGTATTTTTAGAGTGCTTGGTTTCTATTGAAGATCAATAACTAATTTCATATTTCAAAACTTTTTAGGTTGTCGAAACGGGGCTGGGTTACCTATCTGGCATCGTAACATCGTAAGCGAACTGGTGGTCTGTTGGGCGATTTGGCAGCTACCACTCAAGGACGGTTTCGACACCCAGGAGATGAAAGTTCTTATCAAAGTGGGTAACGCGGAAACCTTAGATACCCTGACATTCTTAGAAATATCCATGTCTCTCAGTTCTTCATGGTGAGACCTCAGGTTATGCTGTGGATATGACCGGAAATCAAGTGTCAATTACTTGTATTATGCTTCTAACTGCGATGATTGCAATCGGCGGTCAGGTCAGGGTTGGCTTAGGTTTGGGCTTAGCTTTGGCTTCAGCTAGGTTTGGGCTTACACTAGCATAAATAGATTTTTCAGGTGGTAGCTCTGATCGTACATTCGGTATTCGTCCTTAATGAAGTGCACAACGTTGTCAGCACCAACACAAGGAAGATGCAAAAGCGCTATTTCTTGGCATTAACGCTCCAGGTAGAGCTTGTATACAACATTTTTCTTGCTTATGTATGATAATTAATGCTATATTTCAGCTCTTAATCCCCGGCGTAGCGTTTGGTACCCCGTGGGGCTATTACGGGGTGATCATGTTCATCGGCATGGATTATAATCAAAGTATTTGGAAGAAAATTGATGATTCCATAATTTCTAGGTGTCAATAACACCCTGATGTGTATATTCGCGTCCCATGGATTATGCCACTCGCTAGCCGTAATTCTGATTAACCAGCCTTACCGGGCGGCGGTTTACCAAATGACTCGCGGGTAGCATTTTCCAAGAACTCTTAACTTGTATTTTTGTTTTTTCTTTACTTCACTATTTGGGAAGTACCGAGATATCAGCAGCGCACAGAAAAAGATTATTACTATTCCGAAGCCGGGTATCCAACCGGAAACTGATCGCAGCTAGAATCACGGGATAGAAGCATACTTCCGCTATGAACCTTCAACAATGAAACGATGCATCACGCGAAAACGTGCATCTTGATGGTCTCGTTTTTTAGATAAATACCGGGTTTCAATCAATTATGTACAATCAAGCACATTTCGCCCCCTGGGGCCGTTCGGATGAGCAAGAAAATTGGTCGCTTGTGACCAAGCTTCCGGGCCCTGTCAGAGAACCGACGCTTACTGTATTTAAAATTCTGAAAAATGTATTATCTGTATTTCTGTCTTCAACTTTGTGGCAAAACAATTTAATCCCGGGTTTGTAGCCATAGGAGACGTGGGGAGCTCTTTTATTGCTCAAAAACGCAAAACTTGATCTCCGGCTGCTTCCACTAACCGCTGTACACCCAAAGCTCCAATTTGAAAATATTTTGAAACTTGTTGCTGATGATTGTTCAAATTGTGGATTCCGTAGATTGCCCCTCCCGCCCGCTACCGTAGTGCGGATCAGTCCCAAAAAATCCAATAACAGGATTATTTGCGCTGATCGGAATTCCCTAGCTCCCCAAGGAACTCTACCCTCGTACAAAAAACCAAAGTATTTTTTTCGCGAACAAGGAATTGATGCGAATCCGACGCGGATGCCAACGCTGCCTTTTAAAGTCACATACTAACAGTAATTGAATATATGACCATTCAATAGTCCTTACGCGGTTTTATTATTCCTACGACCCTGAAATTTGCTCCAAATGGTGGGAATGTTCCCCAGACGTAGGGTATCGTGTTCTGGATTTGGTTTCTTGGGATTGGCCACCAAATTTTTGTAACGCAGAGCCATGTGCTCTATTAAGTTCAGCTTATCTCTTTTCGGAGGGGGGGGAGGAAGCTCGTTTTATAAACGCCGTGGCTCCCCATGAAATTTGGCTTGGGATTCCGAGCAGTTTCCGTCTCTTTTCTGAGCATGATCTCGTCTGATATATCCTTGTCTCCACCTCTGTCTCTCTGTCTCTCCCTCTCTCTCTCTCTCTCTCTCTCTCTCTCTCTCTTCCTCTCACTCACTCTCTCTCCCTTGGTTTCTTGCTCTCGAATCTGGAATCTCGAATACTATGGAAACTGTTTTATGACTTAAGTGAAACTTTCTCGCTCTCGCCTACAGAGTCGCATATTAACCGTCGCTCCCTATGTCTGTCTGTCTCTGTGTCTGCGTCTCTCGGAATCGGTAGAGCCTCCCGCGCCTTAAAAATTCGGAGAGTTCTTGGAAACTACGATTTTGCAAATTCTCAACCAGACCAAAACCCAGAGCTGCCCAAGTTGAATTTTCCAAGAGTCATTTCTGTACGCCTAAAAGTGTTCTTTCCCTGCAAACCCTGCACTATTTATGTGACAGTTCCCACCAGAGCCAAAGAGCCTGTTTGCTTTGGCTGTTTCCTCGGTGCATGAAAACGGTCAGAAATTAGTCTTTTGAAGGCCCCAGGGTTTACACCGTTTTCGCAAAAAATTATTCTCGCATTAGCAGACGGTTTTTGGTTCGCTCCTTTCCAGATTGGCCGGACAGCTTGGACATCTTAGGAATTCGCATAGATCGGAAATAAGCGTCGTGCCAATTGCACGATATTTTAGCCCAGACAATTAATCACGATTTTTTTCTTTTATTTACATGCCCGTTTCCGGGTAAGAGCCAGTTGTTTGTACCAATTCTACCCTGTCTGACTTTGTTTTTCAAAGCTGCTCAAGCGTGTGCGATTGAATTAGACCGGAAATGCGCTCGCGCTTTGACACACAATGCGTAGCAAAGCGTAGTCTGGGGATTCGGACTTGATAAATAGACCGGGTTTGAAAGCTTTGACCTTCAGCTGAAATTTTATTTTAACCGATGCCCAATATGCAGTATGTTTACCTCAAAGCCAAATTAAGCCATGCCTAGGCTTAAGCTTTAGCCTAGGCCTGGGCCGAAGCTTAAGCCAAAATCTTAGCCTCTAAACCTAACAAGGCGTGGTTTTTTGAGTGATCCGTGGTTTTCAAGTTAGGACCAAGTCTATTTTGTGCAAAATTTTTCGCTGATTCCGAATCCGTTTTCAAAGAGTGCTGAACGACGATTTTGAAAGTATTACGAGTTTTTTTAGTGCCCAACTGGGTCAAAATGGCCTACTTTCAACCGCCTCAAAAACTCACAGAAAAAGTTTTTGATGAAAATATTTAGCACAGGCTGCTCTAAAAAAGTTACTCATGGTCTACGTGCAATGCATCACCCCAAGCCACAATCACACAGCACAATAAGTATTCAGTATTATGCATAGCCCTTAAATTTTGGCACTACAAAAGAACACGCGTGTAATCCCAAGAGATTGATGTCCCCGGCCGCAAACAATGGCTCTTCAAAGGATCGCCGCTGTTTTGTGCTCAGAATACTGTAGTCTTTGGTCACAACGGTCCCACCGGATTTTTAATCTAACTTCCGGTGAATAAAGAAATGGTGATGCTTGTATTTGTATGGACCCCGCGGGGTATATAATCGAATCTTGGGGTAGCTGGTGTTCCCTGGTCTTCCTTTTAAGTTGTGGCTAAGACCTTACCCTACCTTACCCCCACCAGCCGGAAGTTCCCAAAATTATTGCGCTATAACTTTTTTATATTACACCAGCCGATTACAGCCGCTCCGCGACTGTAATCGGCTGGCCTTCGGGCTACCCTCCATGTCCTACACCATCACATTATCTCCACATCTCCACATTATCATCACATCTCCACCTTCATCAATACCCACGCTGACCGCTTCAGATACCCCCCATAGCCGAAATCCCCCTCAACAACTACCTAAATACCTTCCTGATGGCTTCAGATACTCCCCATAGCCGAATTCCCTTAAAAAACTACTTCGATAGCATCCTGATAGCCTTAGCTACTTTAAATGATTTAAATAACGAATTAACATAATTAAAAAGTATTAAAAAGTATTAAAGTAACTCAAGAAAGCGATCTGGGCGCGCGAAGGGACCTGGCGAAGAGGGGCGATGGGAAAGGGGGCGTGGCCTGCCGGGAAAGGGGCCCCCACTCGTTTTATTAAGGCGCCACCTTCAAAGTTAATTTTAACCATTTAAACAAAAACTTTTTCATAATTTTTTGATCAGTTTTGGGGTTTCTGACCACGCTCTATCCGGATCCGAAGAGAGCTAAGCTCTAGCTCCTTTCCCCTTCGAGTTGAATTCACGACCTGACACACACACTGACGCCTCAAGAAAATTATTATAGTTGATGATTATTTTGGGCTGTAATTAAGATTCTTAGTTAACAATTGCTGCTCTAGCGAATGGCGCGGCCAAAATCCCGATAGAGCAACAGAAATGTCGAAAAATTTTCGGAACTACCAGCTGGGGGTAAGGTAATGGTTAGCTATTTTGTGGTTCCTCTCAGGTGGATCTAAAAGTGCAAAAATTATAAGTTTAACTGAAGGACCAGGGTTGAAAAGCCGCTTCGCGACTTTTCAACCCTGGCCTCCCTGCGGGGCCCTTTGATACACGGGCACTGTATATTATAATTTGCATCAATATTACGAATTACGTTAGGGGTAGGCACACCACAGGAATTACTTGAGCAGCCGACTCGGAACCCCGCAAAGCCCAGAATGAGCCGGATTAATCCTCGCATGCAAATTGGTCTATTTCCATACGTTTTAAATCGCTAAAATAAGGTATAAAACATCATTTTAGTAAAAAACTGATAAGCGCGCAGTAATCTACGCCCTCGATTACCCCTAACCACTTCAATTCTGAACCATAAAATCCACTTCCCTTCGAGTTATGGCTGGAACCCGGGATTTTATGCAAAGTGTCCACACACACACAGAAACTATTTTTTTATATATAGTAGGATTGGCTAGCAAGAGCAACTGGTCAGTTTGGGATAGTGATGTTTAGCATACCAAATTATGCAAATTATGATGCAAAGTACAAAATAACCGATTTTTTTGTGCTTTGCATTCAAATTTGCGTGTGATCCCGACGTCGCGTCGGAATGCGTAACATCGCTTGGGACAAAAAGGACATTTTGCCTTTTTGTTCTGCATGAATTTTGCAATTTTTGCTCAAACTGCTTTGAGTACTTGATATTTCTTATGAAACGACAGCAGGATCCCCAAATAGGTGTCTTGGGTTTTGCAATATCTTGACAATGGTCCATTATGTGGGCGTGGGGAATCAGGCTCATTCAGCGAGCAAAACCGATCCCAAATTTAGTGTAGCATTGTTTCAAGGTGAATCCGGGCTTATTTAAGGCAATTTTCTATGCACCCGACGTTCCTCTACAGCAATTCTAGCTTCTATCAGATGTTCTGCAACCGCGACTCGCACATGTACGGCGGAGCCCTGCTGTCCGTCGTTGGGGTCAGCACGAATATGTTCTTGCTCTTTGTAATCTTCACGTCCCACTCGATGGAAACCCGGGGAACACGAACGATGCTGACCATTATTTCGCTCTACAATATCTATTTCTCCATCGTCATCAAGACGGTCAACCCGGTATGTTGCTATTCGAAAGCGTAGGAAGAAGAGGTTTAGGATATGGCATAGAGGGTGTGACGACGGGAGAAAGAGAAGGAGAGCGGGGGAGAGGGAGAGGGCGAGAGAGTGATAGACCGAGAAAGAGAAAGAGAGAGAGAGAGAGAGAGAGAGAGAGAGGGAGGTAGAGAGAGAGAAAGA